TGCCCCACAAGGTCCAATCCAAGACCCCCCCACCCCCACCCTCACTATGTGATGGAGCCAATCAAAGGAGCCCAAAGAGATTGATCTGATGTGGCGGCAGAAGCTGTTTCAAGGCTAATGTAATCTAGCAGAAGATTTCTATACTGGTTAAAACTAATAGCATTTTTATTTTTCCAATTCAGGAGTATGGTTTTCTTTGCGATGCATAAGGCCATGAGAATCATGTGAGATGTATTTTTCTCTAGTCAACTGAGTCTTTACCAAACGTTGCTTTAAAATCAAACTCGAGAAAGAAGTTTATTTTTGTTTCCTTCAGTATCGGATGGTTTCTGTTTATTGGACATTTGTCCCATAACAACATCATAACAGACAGAAACTGGTTCAGCCGAGACTATACCAGCCACACAGGCTGAGGGGTGTACAGTCCACTGCAGCAGCTCTTCACACCTTCACACTCAGGAAGCATCAAAAGTAAGACACAACTCAAAGAGCTAACTCCTCTGGTTGTCCACCTACAATTATAGAATGTAAAACCAGTGTTGTCCARACGTTTTGAGGATCCAGCGCTTTTTTAATCCTTGTTTGACTCTAGAGTCCTTCAGTCTACAGAGGACTTTGTGTCCGACTCAGTGACTGCGAGGTGCAAAACAAGTCCACACCAGCAGACCTCCACAACCATGCTCTGCAGCTGGTGTGATGTTTGTCTGACCTCAGTGTGAACTTTGTGGGGCGTTCTCATCTAAAAAGAACTGTGAAGTTTGTTGTTTGGATAATCTTTTCCAGACTAAAGACATGGTTCCTCCTTGGCATCGTGTCAACACGCACCTTAACACTACTTTTATTTTTTTACCAGTCTTTTTGTTGCTTCTATTTCTTCATTGATCCCAGGAAGCTTTGTGGTCTAATCTGCCCCTGAGCTGGCCAGACAAGCAGAACATGACTGTAGCATTATGTCACCATTAGAACCGACAGAACTGATTTGTGTGTATCTGTTCCCTGAGAGTTAGCACTCAGGTAGAGGAACTTTATCTCTTTTCAGTTAGCCCTTTTTGTCCCCATCATGCCCCCTTCCACCCTCCTCCCCATGGAGCATCGTTTGTTTTGGCAGCTTCTGAGTGTCTGCCGTGTTTGGGGGTGCATCGGGTCGCTCCGGGGTCTGGGCGTAATAATCTTGCTGACAAGGCCCAATCCACCATGAGATAATGTCATTCCAGAGGGATTGTTGTTAAAGCCCCTCTTTCTGGCTGTCAGGTATAAAAGAGGACGGAGCTGTGGAGCAGAGGGAAGAATCACTGTGGAAACATCCTACACTCACACTTTGATACTCGCCCTGTTCTCTGCGCTTTATTTCCTTTAACCAACCTGCTGGACTTTGGGGTTTGAACAGATCCATCTGAACCTGAAACCAGATCTTATCGTCTCATCGTCATTATGGATATAACCATCCAGCACCCCTGGTTCAGACGCACCCTGGGCTCCGTTCACCCCGCCCGACTCTTTGACCAGTTCTTTGGAGAGGGGATCTTCGACTACGACTTCTTCCCGTACACGTCCTCCACCATCAGCCCGTACTACAGGCACTCGCTGTTCCGCAGCTTGTTGGATTCCTCCAACTCTGGCATCTCTGAGGTGACTGCATCCACGTGGATAGGACGAATGGACTTGTGGACAGTCTCTGATCTGATCCAAACATGTTCTTTAACACRACTTTATGTTTTTAACCTCTGCTGAGATCCCAAAGTGATGCAGTACTTTGTTCTTGCTTCTCCTTCAGGTGAGGTCTGACAGGGACAAGTTCACGGTCTACCTGGATGTCAAGCACTTCTCGCCCGATGAACTCAACGTAAAGGTGACCGACGACTATGTGGAGATCCAGGGCAAGCATGGAGAGAGACAGGTAAGGCTCTTCTTCTAGCGGTCCTCTGGTGTGAGACGGGATTGTAGACTGATCCAGCTCAGGGATTGATGTTTAGACCAGTTTAAGGTTTGTGTTTGAAGCGTTTGGAACAACTTGGTGGGGCTAAATATCTTGTTTTTCAGGACGATCACGGTTACATCTCCCGGGAATTCCACCGCCGTTACCGCCTCCCTTCCATTGTGGACCAGTCTGCCATCAGCTGCACCCTGTCAGCTGACGGCCTGCTGACGCTGACCGGGCCAAAGATAGGCGGTGGGAGCGAGTCTGGCCTCGGCGAGCGCAACATCCCAATCACCCGTGATGACAAACCCAAAGCCACTCCATCCTCCTAGAGGAGGACTGGAGTTCCCTGAAACAGYCTGAACGGTCTGGGATGGACCACCACAGAAGATACCCTCTTCCTCCTCACTCCTGTCTCTGTAGTTCCTCTTAGTTCACTCTTTTAAACTTTTAGTATTGTTGTTTTTAGTATAACAAGAATCAGCCTGAAAGTGAGGCTTAGGGTTTCATCTAGTGCCGAGACCCGATGAGACCCGGCTGAGACCCTGTCCTCCTCCTGTCCTCCTGATCTCCTGTACTGTAGTGTAGACCTCGTTCACTGAGAAGTTCTTACTAAAGCTGACAATAAAGCTGTATGATTAACAAAACCAGACTGGTGCCTCTTTCTAACTATTACTATTTGACAGAACTCCACTTAAAGATTATTTAAATTTATTAAGTTGAATCAACTCCAGTCTTATTTTCTGTTACAAAATGTTTTTGTTTAATGTTTAAGAATAAATACATAAAGTGTGAATATTAGTCATTTACTGCAGCTCTCATCTGTCTGCAGTTTGTCTTTTAGTTTGAAAAGATATGAAAATAAAATCTGACATTTAGAGTAATGATTTAGTAAATAACCACAACTGTAATTTCTTTATAAACACACTTAGGATTTAACATCAATAAACAGTATATCTATATCTACATATACTGTATAAATGGCTGTGTTATTTGCCTCTGACGATTTATTTACACTTGTTTAACCAGGTAAATCCCGTTGAGATTGATGATCTCTTTTGAAAGGCAGGCCTGGGCCTGAAGGCATCATATTTTTGTGCTGTGGAGGAAACACACACAAGCATGAGGAGAACATGCAAACTCCACATAGAAAGACCCCAGGATCAAACCCAGGACCTTGCTGTGAGGTGTCAGTGCTAACCACTGAGCCATCGTGCAGCCGATGATGTAATCTGACCCTCATCAGATGGAATCAGTGATTAGATTTATAAACATCCATCTCTTTACCYTCTTGGGTTTTTTCCACATGCAGCTCATCATTTCAATCATTTTCAGACACACAACAGGAAGCAGAACAATAAGAAGCTGTGAAGGAATTAAATAATCCTGTTTTTTATTTAGAACATTGTTTTCACATTTATATGACASGATGAACAGTTTCCTCACAAAACACTGCATTTAAATTCACTTAAACATTAAAGCCTCTTCTTTTTCCACATACAACCTTTAACAATGTGTTTAACTAAATCTAGTTTAGTTTGAACAGAACATACATGAACATACTTTAACATGAAGAAGGAGCTGGTTTGTTGTTACCATCAGTGGTCCTGTAAACAAACAAGCTGTTAACCTAAGTCACCAGTCGATAAAAAGCTTGGTTCTGTTTTAAGTTCAGTACCTGGTGGAGGGCCTGCAGGTCCTCTAGGGTCTGCCGGGCCGTGGCTCTGAGGCTGGGCTGTGGGCTGGACGTGTGTCGGCTAACACGGGCCCGGAGGTCTGGRTTCAACAGAAATGGGCCCAGGAGGAGCACAACGTCCTCATCCAGCAACACTGACTGCAGGAGACGAAGGCAGTGGTGGCACACCTCCCAGTGTCCGTCTGATGCAAAGATTGGTAGTTTTTATTAAATAATGATGTCATTCTTTCAGTTTGTGACACAGTCAGGTCAACAGAGGGTTAATGATTCGTGGATTGGGCTCCTGTGGGTGAGACCAGGGTTCTAATTCCACATGAGGCTTATATATCCTCCAGTGTTGGTCTTCAGACAAGACCACAAACACCACCTGCCTGACTCATGACATGATGAGAGAATAAACAGAACACCAGCAGCTCAGAGGCTGCCTGCTTAAACAAGCTGTGTTTGGGTTCTGATACATTCACTGAACAATATTTGAAGGAAGAAGGTCTGTTGTGTTCATAGAAAAAGTCTAAGATCTTTGATTTCAGCTCATGAAAAATGGGAGCAAAAACAAAAGTGTTGAGTTTTTATTTTTGCTCAGTGTAGATGGATGGATGATGGATGGATGATGGATGGATGGATGATGGATGGATGATGGATGATGGATGGATGGATGA